GATACCAAGCAATAGAATACTCTCTGGTTTTGATAGCACCATAGTTGCACAAGGCGTGTAACTGATTGATACCAAGCAATAGAATACTCTCTGGTGTTGATAGCACCATAGTTGTACAAGGCGCGTAACTGATTGATACCAAGCAATAGACCTTTCTGGTTGATAGCATATGGTGTGTAGCTGGTTGATACCAAGCAATAGACTGAAATACTCTCTAGTCGATAGCACATGACGGCAGTCATTGCCTGTCATTGCAGGCTGGAAATTCATGAGATGTATTCAGCTGATTGATACCAAGCAATAGAATACTCTCTGGTTGATAGAATATGACGGGCAGTCTTGCTTGTCATTGCAGGCTGGAAATTCATCAGATGTATTCAGCTGATTGATACCAAGCAATAGAATACTCTCTGGTTAATAGCACATGACGGGCAGAAATTGCCTGTCATTGCAGACTAAAAATTCATCAGATGCATTCAGCTGATTGATACCAAGCAATAAAATACTATCTAGTTGATAGCACACGGCGGGCAGTGTTAATTGATACAAAGCAATATATTAACCTACCTGCTGTTCTCCGTCCTGTGCTCTAGGGTGCTCACCAGGCATGCAAAATAACGACCCCAAGCAACAGATCACACACCAGATACAATTTATTAGAATCAAAGCAGCAAGGAATACGAAAGAACCATACGACGACAGGTAGACATAGCAGTAGATTTCGTTACACGCACCAGCTTTAAAATTCCTAATGAACACTGTCAATTCAAGCTTAAACGCATCAATGATGTAGGATTCAAATCCAATGAGGACGATGGAGAAGATGCAAAATGTGGCTGTCTAAAACAATGCAAACGAGAACATTGTTACTGAATAACTATAATATAAGGGTAACAAATTATGAATGACGAATAATCAATAAACAATAATGAGAATGAGCAGTGTTTTTTTCCACAGAGTGGCTCCTCTTCCACTGAATTCCAATTGGAATTTAGAAGGTTGATTTTTGAGGAGGAAGCAATAACCGAAAAACTGGAGAAAAATTCTAGGACTCGGTACAGGAGAGAACCAACGAACAACATGAGAAAGAGAACGCTATCAGATATTAAAAAACTCATTAATAATTCATGAAGGAAACACAATAGAAATCATGACCATGAAGGAGGTTTTATATCTGATATAGATTCGTCTTCATTTGCATAAACTTTAACTTGGATTTTCTCTATCAAACTTGGTTCATTTCGTAAAGAATTCGGTACAGTATGAGAACATACATCAGGAGTTTTTTAAGCCGTTTAATAAACTCGCAGATCGTGTTCTATCGGGTCTAAAACCACTCGGCTACGCCTCGTGTTTTATACTCGATAAAACACTCCTGCTCGTTTATTAAACAGTACTTAGCTTGCTGTTGGAATGTATGGCGCTATATACCCTGAACATTAGGTTTCAACATTCAAGTTTTACAATTTTTAATGCAACTTTGGTGTCTGCTTTTCGATATTGAATTCCACATTCGCGATCGTTTACTAGAATTCGACATTCAAGTTTACAGTTTCGAATTCAGCGACATTGAACGTTTGAATTTGATATTAGGGACCTTAAGCTGCAGGACGGCAACGACGACGACGACGGCAAATATACAATAGCACTAATTGCGCTATTCAATAGATACTCGTTGGAATGTACGAAATACTGTGCATCATTGCCGTCTTATGCTGAAGGTAAGACGTGAAATTTCCTATTTTTACGTTCTAAAGAGAACGGCTACGCCAAAAGCTTATCTTTGCTGATTTTCGTTATAAGTAAAGCGCTCCCAAAAGACGACATTTCACTCTAAAACGGGGGTGCTTATCGAGTAAAATACTAGATAAACACTAAATAATAATACAATAGAAGGTTGAAGCGCCTCAATTTCGCCGACGTTGTCGCCCACGTTGCCGTCCTGCAGCTTAAGGTCCCTATTGCTGCACACAATAAGCCTGTTCATAGTTTAAGAATCGATTCCACTGCGCATGCGATTTTATCCCGAATTTCTCACCTTCTTTTGTCTAAACCTTCTTTTGTTCTTAATTAAACAAAAGAAGGTGAGAAATTCGGGATAAAATCGCATGCGCAGTGGAATCGATTCTTAAACTATGAAAAGGCTTATTGGTCATTCGCATCGAATCTATCCACTCCGAAATCATGGAGTTCAAGTCACATTATAAAGATTTTCCAATGCATGCAACATTCGGGTTTTACCGGCATTTGACAATCAAGTTTTGAATAGTCCAGTTTCGAGTTCCAAAATACCGCTGTTCTTTCTTGATTACAGACTCATTTACTCAGGCTTAGCCTCGAATCAGTGTCTAATTACTCGCAAATACCAACGGTAAAGTAAAGAATGCACAACTTCAACAATACGAACACTTTGAAACTTGACGGACCTTGACTGGAACAAAATCGAGTCTGAGTAAATGAGTCTATAATCAATAAACACAGCAGTAATTTGGAACTCGAAAAGGGTCTATTGAACTTCACGCGTGAATGACTTGACCTTGGGAAAGGAAACCACTGTACCGTACCAGCCCAACCCCCACAAATTTTGTTTCTTCTCCCAAATTTACTACTTAGCCCTCCCCTTGTCATTAGTTATTGTCTTACTCGGCACTTGTTTCGTAAACGCCTTGGATTGCTTGCACATAATCCAACACACCCAGTGACCTGAATCTGAAATGATATAAATTATCTTCAGTATACACTATTAACAATCAGGCAAAAAGTGTTGGTTTCCTTCATATGGTCCAACCCAGAGTCCACGTTCCTCTTGGTCAGCACCGAGAAACGAGAGTCTGCTTTAACCGATTTTAAATTAACTTCCCGCGTCTGTGAATCTCGGACTACACATGTTTAAAACACAGGCTAGTCGTTGTTTGGGATACCTTTGGTTTTTAGCGATTCAATTCGTTTCGAAAGGTCATCATTTTTAGACCTTTTTAGCACTTTAGTTTAGTGATTCATACTTTGTCTAGTTAAAGTCCTCTGTGTGTTTCTTTGTGCAATTTTTTAAGTTTCTGACACACTTTTTGAGGATTAAATTCGCCACAAATGCAAGAGCGACCGATAGGCTAGCTCCGCCCTCTTTAAATTACTTTGAAATTAAGTCATTGATTGACAGCTGGTGAATGCTAATTGACTATATACGGGAACGCTATTAACATATGCCCGCAAAGATTTCTTGGGTAGGATCTTTAAGACCCCTAGTATTGCGCAAATTGTCCATTTTTCGCGCAGAATCTGGAAGAATAAACAAAGGTATTTTACGACTGGGCTATCACAGGTTTCCCCAAAAAACGCGACGAGCTTTAATCTTTTTTTGAACCTCGAAAACTTAACAGTCTGCTTTACATAGCGCTTCGAAATGAGCTACATTCTTTGGGCGCTTCATTCATGAACTAAGTCATTCAAGCTTTGATCGATATATATAAAACAAAAGAAAGCAGCCTTATACAGACTTCAACAAACCAGTCAGTGATTTACAGACCTGAAGAAAGACAAGCTGAAGATAAAAGATAAAGAAAAAACAGCACAGATAGTTGACTACCTATCTGCTTAACCAATCAGAAATAAGGATTATTTAGTTTCGGTGAAAGTTCAAACACACATATAGAAGTGTTTTTCCTAGAAGCGAAAGAGATTTGATTGGCATGCAGACGTCTGCCGTTAGCCAATCAGAAATGAGGATTATTTACTCAGTCGGTGCAAGTTCAAACACGTATATTCTAAGAACTGGTTTTCCTAGAAGCGAAAGAGATTTGATAGGCATGCAGACGTCTGCCGTTAGCCAATCA